GTGGGATACATCCCAGTCGAAATAGAAAGATTTATTATTCCCGCGAGTGTACTGCTGATAACATTTGACGAGTACTTCAACAGTTGAGTAGGACATGAATATAAACCATGAGATTTGTTAATTGGTATGCGCAAAATTTCTGCGAGTTACAGCCTTGGTTCTGAAGTTTATTAAGCTATTAAAGTCACAGCGACAAGGTGATCTGAATCAGAAGCCGAAGATACATGTGACCGGTGCAGACATAGAAGAAGCCTAACTTCTATGGATCAAGGAAGTTCAGCGAGAGATGAAGAGCAAGCAGACGTTTAAGATGAGGTCGCACCAGGTGGGGTTGTTTGAGGATGATAAGGGAGTTATTCGATGCCAAGGTAGACTCGGGAACAGCGAGCTTACAGATTCAGCAAAGTATCCAATCTTGCTTGACACTTGCCACTACTTAATTACACTTGTAGTCTGGAGAGTCATGCATGGAGGAGTTAAGGAAACACTCACCGAGTTGAGGTCGAACTTTTGGATTCTTCGAGGCCGATAAATTATCAGAAGTTTGTTGTTTAGATGCACAGTTTGTAAGAAAATTTGAAGGGAAACCGTATAAGGTTCCACGAGCTCCACCCCTGCCTAGTTACAGAGTGAAGGAGGCTCCTGCATTTTCGTACATTGGATTGGATTATGTTGGACCCCTTTTCATGACGTCTACCAGTTAGGAAGAACGTTAAGTCTGGATTTGTTTGTTTATTTGTACTTGTTGTTCCACGGGGGCGGCCCACATCGAGGTTGTACCCAAGATGACTTCAGTGACATTTCTGAGGTGCTTTAGAAGATTTGCAACTCTTCGTTCAAGGCCTTCTTTAGTTGTACCAGATAATGCCAAAACCTTCAAGAGTGCTTCTAAGGAGCTTGAGAAAATTACAAATTATCCCAGTGATGTTAAATACTTTGTCCAAGAGAAGATCAAATGGTCCTACAACTTAGAGAAGGCCCCATGTGGGGAGGTTTTTACGACGACTTGTCAAGTCACTGAAGACATGTCTTAAGAAGACAATCGGCCGAACCAAACTTTCCTACGATGAACTTGTAACTGTTGTTACAGAAGCTGCAATGATCTTAAATTGCCGACCCATTTCATATGCCTCCTCTAAGGACCAGGAAGAACCCCTCACACCTTCCCACCTCATTGCTGGTCGAAGACTCAACGCCCCTCCTGAAATAGACAGTCCTGCAGATGCAGATTTTCTAATTTCGCCGGGTGACCTGAGCAGAAGAGCAAGACACCTTGACATGGTTCGGACTCCTTTTTGGAAGCGTTGGAGTGCATAATATCTTCTTGAATTATGAAATGCCCACAAAGCAATTGAAGAAGACGGCGGGATCAAGGGTAGTGTCCGTCGGAGATCTGGTATTGGTTCATGACGAAACCCACCCAAGATCTTATTGGAAGATGAGCAAGGTGGAGCGGCTTCTGATGAGCCAGGATAGGCAGAGTCAGAGTCCAAGGGAGGGGATCAAGCGGAGGTGGACTCTTAAGGAGATCGCTACAGTTGTTGTACCCACTTGAAGTAAGCTGTTCTACAAATGAAGCAGCTCCTCAGCAGCAAGTACCTGGATCACCGGAACAGCCGGCCCCAGTTCGGGCCAGAGAAAATAGAGAGAGAGTAGAGAGCGGCGTAGAGCAGCAGGTAGTGGGAGAGCGAATAAGAAGACAGTGGATTGCTGAATTACAAGACGAAAATTAAGTTTCTTATATGTATTATGAACATTGAACAGTTCGTTTTTTTAGGGAGACTATATTCACTGAGTTATTTTTCTCTTCCCCTTGGCTATTTGATGCTGGTAATAGAAGATGGACAACTCTTCATGATCCACGGGGAGGAAGTGTCCGCGATGACAGCGCTAGGCCATCTTGGAGAGGTCCAAAAAAGTGTTGTGTTTTCTTCTAAGAAAAACGTGTGAGTGCGAACCTCGTGAGCCTGTCTGAATCAGGAAAATTCTTGTAAAATTTAGAGAAAACCTCCTCTTGTAACCTACGAAACGAGCCTTTGAATACAGTTCAGTTCAAGTTCGTCCACAGGACCATTAAACGTTCCGTGAGTTCATTTTGTTTCTTCACTTTCACCTAGCAGCAAACGCTGACAAAAAGATACAAGCAAAACATTAAAACACTCGTATCAGTGAAGTAAAAGTACCGGTAGCATCCCTACGCCGTTTCTTCTTGCCAACATTCCCACAGCGTTCGAATCCACCTTTTCGGTCGACTAGCCAGATAACATCGTATACTACAATCCTGGACAAAAGTCCTTGGGACAGTAGTGCGATATTCATATTTTTCTGTCATTTGTCGGTTCCCCCTTAAAACAGTGCCTCCTTTTCGAAATTTTCTTGCAGTTCTCCCTCCCCCCACCTTATACAAAGTTGAAACTCGGAAAAAATTTTGGACACACGCGTCCAACATTGTTTGTGGGGTGAGGGGAGGGGTTGGTCCTCTGTGAATTGGAAAACGCCCCAGAAAGGCAAAAGTGTCCCAAGACTTTTGTCCATGAATGTCCGAAAAAGAGGTGCAAAGAAAAAAGGCAGTTTAGAGGGTTTTTCAAGCCTGTAAGAGTGTTTTTTTCCAGATTCTGATGAAAGGTCGTAATTGAACAAACCTTTTCCAGCTTTTCGGGGTTTCCCGAACCTGTTTTAAGAATTCGCCCGAAACGAATGATATACGCCCGAAATTGTGGAATCTAATAGCGCGTGCTTTATTCCAAAGGATAACATAACTTTAAACAAGACTCACGTCCGAAAACGGTTAAAGGAAGCAACGAGTTACTAACATTATGGTGTACACCGTAGGAATTTCGGCAGGCCAAAGAGCTAGAGTCGTGGATATACGACAAAGCATGAGGTCGTTTACTTGGTAATAGCTTGCAGTCAGAGACGTCAACAGTCGCCAGTACTCAATATGACTACGAATGTCAAAAACTCAAGTAGGCTTGGTAGAGAAAATAACAACGTTTTCCAGATGATAGAACGGTCGTGAAAAAATATTAAGCGATGTGAATAGCCGTCCCTGTCATTTGTACAACACAAAAATATCACAGGAGCTATAAATGCAATTGTGAGGTAAGAAAAAACCGGTTGTTTCATAATACGCCTAGTTCGTAACAAAACAGTTTTTCGCTGACTTCTAGAGAGTTGCATCGGATCCTTTTTTGTTTGAAAGTGTTGCTAATATTTCTATGTGTTTATTTACTGACAAAAATTACGTTGCGTGATATTTGTCACAAACTAAGTAAACAAACAAGTGAGTTTAGTTTGAACTGATTTGCATAGCTGGACAGTACGCACCAACAGTACTCACTCTAAAACCTTAAAAATGTGTGCTTTTTCTATAGAATCTTAACATCTTATGGATGGTGAGAGAAAATGTATCTGTAGAAACATCCTTTGACGCCTTTACAGCGAAAACGCATGTTTTAGCTCTTTAGTCACAGTACTCACTTTGAAATGGAGAGAAAGAAGAACAAGATAATTTTTCCTTGCTGGATCAAGTGAGTACTGTTGTACTCACTTTACCGGATGGCCTTTTTGACGCATGTTATTTCAAATGCAATTACTTTTGGTTGAAATATACCTTAGCCGTGTTTCCTTAATGAATTTGTAGCGAATATTGATAATACGTTGTGTTTTTGCAGCCAAGTACTGTGGGCGATGCTCGAAACATCGTGCCTGACCAACTTCCGCTGTACTCGGCTTCAGTTTAGGGTAGTGGGCCCGATATGACTAATCAGGGAATTGCCTTGTAAAAACTTGCTATGTTGAGGAAATACATTAAACGGTCATTATTATGGCATGTGATCACCTACCTGTCTCCAAAATGCCTAAAAAGCGTAAGAAAAATGAAGAAAACAGACTTTGCAAGGTATAAACTACATGTTAGCTTGAGACCAGGCTCCGCATTGAGGAAAAAAGGAGAAAAAAATCGGCGAGTGAAGCTGGCCGAGAAGTAGTCTGGGGAGGGGAAACACCCTTTCCCCCTGTCATCTAATGAGATGATGGCGGTAGTCACCCTGTATGTCTCGAACAATAAAAAATCCATATCAATGAGACACAGTCAAAAATGCATTCAATAGGACCAAAATTAAAGTCGAATCTTGTGACCGATTTTGAAAAATTGTTAGAGCACTCAAGTTCTGGCTAAAAGCAAATTCCTGTGAAAGATGCGTTACAATGTTAGCGCACGCAAAAGCAAGAAGTTCTACAATTTTCCGATAAACTAAATGCACGCTGATGGGACTGAAGAGCTGAGATGTATAAAGCACGTTCATTTGTGTTACAGCGAGTTGCCTGTAGCTGTCAGCAGTGCTTTCATGTTCTTCTCCAAACTGTTTAATACGGATAGGCAATTCACGCTGATGAGATTGACAAGCTGAGGCATAATCGTGCATGTTGGCCTGTGTCACACAGAGTTTGCAATAGCTGTCAGCTAGCTGCGCTTTCATGTTCCTCTCCAACCAGTTTAATACGGATAGCCAATGCCCGCTGATGGGATTGAACGGCTTTGGTGTAGTCATGCATGTTGTTTTGTGTTGCACTGAGTTGCCTGTAGCTGTCAGCTGTGCTTTCATGTTCTTCTCCAAACAATTTAATACGGATAGCCAATGCATGCTGATGGGATTGAAGGGCTCAAGTGTTGTCATGCATTTCGTGTTGTGTTACACCGAGTTGCCTGTAGCGGTCAGCTGTGCTTTTCATGTTCCCCAAACAGTTTAATACTGATAGCCAATGCGCACTAATGACATTGAAGAGCTGAGGTGTAGTCATGCATTTCGTTTTGTGTTACGTCGCGATCTCTGTAACTGTCAGCAGTGCTTTTCTGTTCTTCACCCAACACTTTTATGAGAATGGGCAATGCACGCTGATAAGATTGAAGTCCTGAGGCATAGTCGTGCATGTTGGCCTGTCTTACACTGAGTTCCCTGTAGCTGTCAGCAGTGCTTTCATGTTCTTCTCCAAACAGTTTAATACAGATGGCCAATGCTCTGTGATGGAAGAGCTGATGTGTAGTCATGCATGTTGGCTAGTATAACACCGAGTTCCCTGTAGCTGTCAGCTGTGCTTTCATGTTCTTCTCCAAACAGTTTAATACGGATAGCCAATGCACGCTGGTGGGATTGAAGAGCTGAAGTGTAGTCATGTATTTCGTGTTGTGTTTTACCGAGTTGCCTGTAGCTGTCAGCTGTGCTTTCATGTTCTTCTCCAAACAGTTTAATACGGATAGCCAATTCACGCTGATGAGATTGAAGAGCTGAGGCATAGTCCTGCATGCTTGCCTGTGTCGCACTGAGTTTCCTGTAGCTGTCAGCAGTGCTTTCGTGTTCTTCTCCAAACAGTTTAATACGGATAGCTAATGCACGCTGTCGGGATTGAAGACCTGAGGTATAGTCGTGCATGTTGTTTTGTGATATACCGAGTTGCCTGTAGCTGTCAGCAGTGCTTTCATGTTCTTCTCCAAATAGTTTAATACGGATAGCCAATGCTCGCTGATGGAATTGAACGGCTTTGGTGTAGTCATACATGTTGTTTTGTGTTACACCGAGTTGCCTGTAGCTGTCAGCTGTGCTTTCATGTTCTTCTCCAAACAGTTTAATACGGATAGCCAATGCACGCTGATGAGATTGAAGTGCTGGGTTGTAGTCACGCATGTTTTTATGTGTTACACCGAGTTCCCTGTAGCAGTCAGCGGTGCTTTCAAGTTCTTCTCCAAACTGTTTAATACGGATAGCCAATGCACGCTGATAGGACTGAAGAGCTGAGGTGTAGTCATGCATTTCGTGTTGTGTTCCACCCAGATCCTTGTAGCTGTCAGCTGTCCTTTCATGTTCTTCTCCAAACAGTTTAATACGGATAGCCAATGCGCGCTGATGAGATTGAAGAGCTGAAGTATAGTCATGCATTTCATGTTGTGTTATACCGAGTTCCCTGTAGCAGTCAGCTGTCCTTTCATGTTCTTCTCCAAACTGTTTAATACGGATAGTCAATGCACGCTGATGAGATTGAAGAGCTGAGGTGTAGTCATGCATTTCGTGTTGTGTTACACCCAGATCCCTGTAGCAGTCAGCTGTCCTTTGATGTTCTTCTCCAAACAGTTTAATACGGATAGCCAATGCACGCTGTGTGGATTGAAGAGCGGAGGTGTAGTCATGCATTTCGTTTTGTGTTACACCCAGATCCCTGTAGCAGTCAGCGGTGCTTTCATGTTCTTCTCCACACAGTTTAATACGGATAGCCAATGCAAGCTATTTGGATTGAAGAGCTGAGGTGTAGTCATGCATTTCGTGTCGTGTTAGACCCAGATCCCTGTAGCTGTCAGCGGTGCTTTGATGTTCTTCTCCAAACAGTTTAAAACGGATAGCCCATGCACGCTGATGAGATTGAAGAGCTGAAGTATAGTCATGCATTTCGTGTTGTGTTATACCGAGTTTCCTGTAGCAGTCAGCTGTCCTTTCATATTCTTCTCCAAACAGTTTAATACGGATAGCCAATGCACGCTGATGAGATTGAAGAGCTAGGTTGTAGTCACGCATGTTTATATGTGTTACACCGAGTTCTTTGTAGCAGTCAGCTGTGCTGTCATGTTCTTCTCCAAACAGTTTAACACGGATAGCCAATGCACGCTGATAGTATTGAAGAGCTGAGGTGTAGTCATGCATTTCGTGTTGTGTTACACCCAGACCCCTGTAGCTGTCAGCGACGCTTTCATGTTCTTCTCCAAACAGTTTAATACGGATAGCCAATGCACGCTGATGAGATTGAAGAGCTGAAGTATAGTCATGCATTTTGTGTTGTGTTGTACCGAGTACCCTGTAGCAGTCAGCTGTCCTTTCATGTTCTTCACCAAACTGTTTAATACAGAAAGCCAATGCACGCTGATGGGATTGAAGAGCTGAGGTGTAGTCATCCATTTCGTACTGTATTACACCCAGATCCCAGTAGCTGTCAGCGGTGCTTTCATGTTCTTCTCCAAACAGTTTAATACGGATAGCCAATGCACGCTGATGGGAGTGAAGAGCTGAGGTGTAGTCATGCATTTTGCCTTGTGTTATACCCATTTCCCTGTAGCTGTCAGCGGTGCTTTCATGTTTTTCTCCTAAAATGCTCTCCGATATCTCAAGGGCTTGCTGGTTTGCCTGGAGAGCCTTTTGATAGCTTTTTTTTTCTTTGAAAACTTTGCTTAGGTCTAACAAGCACCTTGCAAGTGCTTTATGTTGTAAATGACTAACATCCTCAAACTTGTCTATGTTAAGAGGGCTGTTTTTGCATTGGGTGAGTGCGGATTCGTGGTATTTGATTCTGACCGCATACAGTTTAGCAGGGTCCCCACTACTTAACTTACAGAGTACATTTGTCACAACGCTATGAAAAGTGAGCAACCCAGGAGTAACTTGAACCTCTCCCTCGATATTCTCTACGATTTGGAGAAGCGAATTGTGTATACTTTGCTTGGTGTTAGCATCAACAAAAGTGTTTGTTGCTTCGTGTAATAGAAAGGCAATTTCACATTTCAGTGGTTTATGTAGCAAGTTGTCCGAGTTTTTTTGAAGTTTTACTTCATTAACAGTTTCCCTTGTTTCCGCTTTTGTTGACGGGATAATAAGTAGTTGCCAGTCCCCCATTGCCATACATTGGTGGATTGCTTTGTCATAGAAGGTACTTGCACTGGAGAGGTCGTTACGAGACTGAAAATAGACAGCAAGTATTTGAAAAATAACCATCTCCAGAATATGTTTTTCTGTACTGTTAGAATTTGTCAGTGTTGATAGCGCGTCTTTTAGGAACTGCACTCCATTATTCGTTTCTTCGGTAACAAAGTGATAGATTCCCATATAGCACAAGTATTTGCCTTTTTCCAGGTTAGGAACAATAGAAGCTGCAGTTTGAAGCTCATTCACTTTTGAGAGAAGATGTCTCGTCTTTCCTTTTCGTCCCCAGGTCACCTCACCGAAAGCTATTGAAGAAAGTTGTTGCCTGTAGTATTTGCCTTTCCCTTGTAGTTTGGCTGCCTTTATGGCGGAGTCGTATATGTGAAAAAAGTTTTGTGCTTCATTCGTATTCCAAAAAAGCGAGTCAAGAAATATCTCTCCTTTTACTAGTACATCGTAAACGCTGTCAGCTCTTTCGGAATCGAAACAGCTCTCTACTAGGCTTTCAATGATGTTCTTCTTATTTTCAAAGAATTCCATATATGCTGCCATTGAGTTCCCGGTGAGAAATTGTTTATTGAGCTTCTCAAAACAGCAAATGTAGAACGCGTTCAAACGACTCTTTGAGTTCAGCAAGGTATCTGTCATCTCTCTTTCTCCCTTCTCTCTTGCAAATTATTGCAGGAGCCTGTGCATTGTGAATGTTCCCGGATTAGAGCTTGAGTCAATGAGAGACTCTCTTCGAAGGCTTCCTAATATCTTTCTGGCTTCCATAAACCCTATGTCACTTAAAACGGCTGCAGCTACTTCCGTACTGAAACTCTCAGGAAGAATGCTTAAGGATATAATTGCATCTTTTTCTTGCATTGTGAGGTTCTTGAAAGAAGAGTCAAACAAAAACTGTAGTCGGTGACGAGTTGGGTAATCTGGATTGTTTAACATTTCAATAATACGGTCTTCTGTCGAGGACGTCATGAAGTAATCTATAATCTGGTGTGGTTGAGCGCTATCTTCAGATATCAAAGAACACATCAACTTCACCGCTAAAGGAACTTGTCCGCAGATTTGCGCGACTTGTGTACAGTCTGCAGCGCTTGCATTTGGAAGCAACTCAGAAACTAGGGTCATAGCAGAGGCTTTATCCAATGGCCTTATTCTTAAACCCTTATGACCTTGAAAATGGAGGTCCATATACTCAAGAGACTCTCTCGTGGTTACGACAAACGTCAACATTTGATTTCGCCCTAGAATCTCTTCGAGAAGTTGCATGACCTCTTCCTTTGCGTTCGGCGAACCACTTTCTAACAAATCGTCAAAGTTATCAAGGATAAACGCAGATGGCTTTGAAACATCACTGAAAAGTTGCCGAACCTCTTCATCGATGGATAGACGTTGACCAGAAGGTTGTTTTGTTGTGGTAGGTTTCCTGAGAAAGCTAAGAAACTGGGAAGCCAAGTCTGCTTTAAAAACCACTTCCCGTAATGACACCCAATAAACAGGCAGTCCTTGAGACTGAAGTGCATGTGCACCCGCAATGGCAACCGATGTTTTTCCGAATCCAGGTGAACCCCACATTGACACCAGTCGGGTAGACTCGGAAGACACGTGTCGTATGATCTCCTCACACTCACCCTGGCGCCCAGTAAAATTAGGAACCACTGAAGGAAGGGGAGCTCCAAGAAGCGATGACCTCATACCTTAAAAAAACTGTAAAACTAATCAAAAGATATGCGCAAATATCTAAACAAATAAACAAATCGACTCACTTAAAAGATCGATCTAGTGGCACTTGACTTTCATAGAATTTAGAAATGCTTTTTTGGAACAGAGAAAAACGTAGTCGATCAGCTAAGTGATGAAGATTTTAACATGGTTGTGTAGATGGCGCAGGAATAATCGATAAACTGCTAGCATCCTTCGTAGCCATTTCTCATCTCAAAATCGTCTGCGAAGAAGGCTATTCTCCTTCAGCCAGTTTACTTTATCCATTCTTGCCACGCCTCGACTTAACTGGCACGCAGTCTTGATTGGAGCGCGCAAGTACTCTTATAAACTCTTTAGTATTTACTCCAATTCAACTCTCTCCTAGTTACCCCAACGCCAAACAAAAGCACTCCACTCGTGTAATGTAGCAGGTAAGCATACTTATTTGGCCAGCTATGTAGGCTGGGAGCCACTTCAAGCCTCCAAACGTTTGGTGATGTGCAAGGCCTATGTCTCTTTAGAAAGTACATATTTCTCTGATTATAAATGAAAAGTGTTTCTGGGCAAGTTTTAATCCCTGTAAATAACCCAAAATATTCTCTTTTGCACAACCTCACGCTTGTAGCATTTTAGGCAGAATAATTAAAGCACTTTACCGGGGCAGGACAAGCTTAGTCGGTAGAGCACTTGACTGCAATTCTGGAGTTCACGGTTTCGATCCCCAGATCCGGCTTAAAACTAAGGGTCCTAAAATAACTGAGAAGTGTAGGTACTGCCGCTCTTGCCCTGATAACCGAGTAAAATGGTGGGAGACATAAAAATAGTGTCCTCAATTAGTAATTTCGAGCCAAGTACGTTGACACTCAAATAAAGTGTGTTGTTTAACCAACTGAACGGAAGTTCTCTTGACTTCCGTGTTTTGTCTGGCGCTAGGAACATGGAACTAGCTAGACGGACTCTAAAACCCCGGCGTTGATTAACTTTCACCGCTGTCATTCCAGTCTGTCATTTCTTACCTGAATTTTCAGGCTGTTTATCACGTTCATCTTTCCCTGATTTCAACTCATTTATCCTTTCCTCCAATCTAGCCATGACTTCTCTGCTGGCTGTGTCCTCTTCGCTCATCTGTTTCAAAACATTGATATCTGCACTCACACCCTCGAGAATCGTAGCGTACTCTGCTTGTGCTCCTGTAGCAAAATTTTTGGTGTCTTCCTTGTTTGCCTCTTTTGTAGAATGCAATATCGCTTTTATCTCACAGATGTCTGAACTCACTTCCTCGAGAAATTTGATGTACGCTCGAGTCTCGTCTCTGAGTTTCATCTCCAATCTGCGAACTTCATTTGTGGGAAAGTCCGACTCCGTCAAGCCACCAACGGCGTCATGTTCGTCTCCAAACAGTTTAATGCGTATTGCTAATGCACGCTGTTTAGACTGAAGAGCTGCTTTTTAGTCTTTCATTTGGTGTTGTGTTACACCGAGTTCCCTGTAGCTGTCAGCAGTGCTTTCATGTTCTTCTCCAAACAGTTCAATAAGTTTTGCTAATGCTCGCTGGTGAGACTGAAGAGCTGCTTTGTAGTCTCTCATTTCGTATTGTGTTACACCGAGGTCCCTGTAGCTGTCAACAGTGCTTTTATGTTCTTCTCCACTGAAACACTTTAATGCGTATTGCTAATGCTCGCTGTTCAGACTGAAGAGCTGCTTTGTAGTCATGCATTTGGTGTTGTGTTACACCGAGTTCCCTGTAGCTGTCAGCAGTGCTTTCATGTTCTTCTCCAAACAGTTTAATACGTATTGCTAATGCTCGCTGGTGAGACTGAAGAGCTGCTTTGTAGTCTTTCATTTCGTATTGTGTTACTCCGAGGCTGAAGTAGCTGGTTTAATGCGTATTGCTAATGCACGCTGTTTAGACTGAAGAGCTGCTTTGTAGTCTTTCATTTGGTGTTGTGTTACACGAATCGCTCCCCGACTGGTAGTCTGTCGTTCTTTTCGTGGAATATCAATGGGATCTTTGCTAAACCCCTTGGTGATAAATTGCAAAATAATGAATGTTTGAATTTGATATGTCAATTTGATTTCGCAATTCTTTGTGAGACCTGGAAGAAGACGATTATCGACGTAACAGGATATCGATCGGTAGTTTCAGGTACCTCAAAATTAGGAAACAATGGTCGCAACTCAGGAGGAGTTGCTTTACTCTACAAAAATGAACTCCATAATTGGGTATCGATAGAAAAAATAACTCCGAACTTTCTGTGGTTCAAAATTAGCAAACAGTACGTAAAAACCTCAAAAGATATTTATGTTTGTGGCGTCTATATTCCGCCTAACGGCTCAAAATACTTTCTCCCTGAAATGTTTGAAGATCTTGAAAACGACATTGAAACTTTTTACTCTCAAGGATCGATTCTCTCATGGGTGACTTTAATTCTAGAACAGGAAAATATTCGGATTGTGTAAGCCAAGAAGGAAACACCATGATTACCAATGATCAGTGCCATCTTTCTTCAGGTTCCACTCATAGAAATAGTTTTGACAACAACATTAACAATCACGGCAAACGCCTTCTTGAAATCTGCAGAAGCGTAGATCTTAGAATACTTAACGGTAGAGTTAGTGAAGACTCATTAGGAAGAACCACATTTCATGGAAAGGTTGGAATAAGTGTCGTTGATTATGCCATATGTCATCAAACGTTATTTTCACACATACTAAACTTTATTGTTAAAGAGCCCACGTATTTATCGGATCATAGTCCACTGGTGACCTGGTTATGTACTGACACCGATATTCGTAATCAAGATACTTTACAAGAGAATGATACTTTAACACGATTACCAAAACAATTTGTGTGGGAAAGTGACTCTACACCAAAATTCAAAGCAGCTCTTCAATCTCCAAATTTGCAAATGATAATACAAGAATAGTTTAATAGTTCAGCAGTGCTTTCATGTTCTTCTCCAAACAGTTTAATACGTATTGCTAATGCTCGCTGTTTAGACTGAAGAGCTGCTTTGTAGTCTTTCATTTGGTGTTGTGTTACACCGAGTTCCCTGTAGCTATCAGCAGTGCTTTCATGTTCTTCTCCAAACAGTTTAATACGCATTGCTAGCTATTGCTAATGCTCGCTGGTCAGACTGAAGAGCTGCTTTGTAGTCTTTCATTTGGTGTTGTGTTACACCGAGTTCCTTGTAGCTGTCAGCAGTGCTTTCATGTTCTTCTCCAAACAGTTTAATACGTATTGCTAATGCTCGCTGGTGAGACTGAAGAGCTGCTTTGTGGTCTTTCATTTGGTGTTGTTTTACAGTGAGGTCCCTGTAGCTGTCAGCAGTGCTTTCATGTTCTTCTCCAAACAGTTTAATACGCATTGCTAATGGTCGCTGGTGAGACTGAAGAGGTGCTTTGTAGTCTTTCATTTGGTGTTGTGTTACACTGAGGTCCCCGTAGCTGTCAGCAGTGCTTTCATGTTCTTCTCCAAACAGTTTAATACGCATTGCTAATGGTCGCTGGTGAGACTGAAGAGCTGCTTTTTAGTCTTTCATTTCGTATTGTGTTACTCCGAGGCTGAAGTAGCTGTCAGCAGTGCTTTTATGTTCGTCTCCAAACAGTTTAATGCGTATTGCTAATGCACGCTGTTTAGACTGAAGAGCTGCTTTGTAGTCTTTCATTTGGTATTGTGTTACCACAGGTAACCCAGGCTCTGTGATAGTACCACAGTACGGTTCCAGTAAAATTACAGTGTTTTTATGGGGTAAAAATATCATCCTAAAATTTCTAGGAAATACTAAATAAAGATCAATAAAACTTACTCTGCAGTTAATTGTTGTTGTCCTTATTGCTCCAACGAAGTTTCGTGATAATTTGCAGTAATTTGTTCAAATTCACTCTATCTACAATAATAATATACAAGGTAGGAAACACGAGGTGCCATTTTCGCCGACATG